CGTGTTATTGTTCGTGTTCTTTTTCTTGTTGTTGTTGTTGTTGTTGTTGTTGTTGTTGTTGTTGTTGTTGTTGTTGTTGTTGTTGTTGTTGTTGTTGTTGTTGTTGTTGTTGTTGTTGTTGTTGTTGTTGTTGTTGTTGTTGTTGTTGTTGTTTGTTGTTGTTGTTGTTTGTTGTTGTTGTTGTTGTTGTTGTTGTTGTTGTTGTTGTTGTTGTTGTTGTTGTTGTTGTTGTTGTTTGTTGTTGTTGTTGTTGTTGTTGTTGTTGTTGTTGTTGTTGTTGTTGTTGTTGTTGTTGTTGTTGTTGTTGTTGTTGTTGTTGTTGTTGTTGTTGTTGTTGTTGTTGGTGTTGTTGGTGTTGTTGTTGTTGTTGTTGTTGCTGTTCTTGTTCGTGTTGTTGTTGTTGTTGTTGTTGTTGTTGTTGTTGTTGTTGTTGTTGTTGTTGTTGTTGTTGTTGTTGTTGTTGTCGTTGTCGTTGTCGTTGTCGTTGTTGTTGTGTGCTTGTTGTTGTCGTTGTTGTCGTTGTCGTCGTTGTTGTTGCTGTGTTGTTGTTGTTGTTCTTGTTCTTCTTGTTGTTGTTGTTGTTGTTGTTGTTGTTGTTGTTGTTGTTGTTGTTGTTGTTGTTGTTGTTGTTGTTGTTGTTGTTGTTGTTGGTGTTGTTGTTGGTTTGTTGTTGTTGTTGTTGTTGTTGTTGTTGTTGTTGTTGTTGTTGTTGTTGTTGTTGTTGTTGTTGTTGTTGTTGTTGTTGTTGTTGTTGTTGTTGTTGTTGTTGTTGTAGTTGTTGTTGTTGTTGTTGTTGTTGTTGTTGTTGTTGTTGTTGTTGTTGTTGTTGTTGTCGTTGTCGTTGTTGTCGTTGTCGTTGTTGTTGTTGTTGTTGTTCTTGTTCTTGTTGTTGTTGTTGTTGTTGTTGTTGTTGCTGCTGCTGTTGTGGTTGTTGTTGAGTGAAAAATAATAAAACAAACTTGTGCTAAATTAAAGACAAAAGCAGTTTTGCAGCTATAGCGGCGCGGAAGCAGAAAAAAACAAAATAAATTGGGGTGCGGCATTGAGACGTAGGAGAGTATGGTGTGTTTTTGTCATTTTTTGGGAATGATACCGCGGTTTCTGGGTACTCTTTTCTCCTGCATCTGCAGGCATGCTCACGCACCGTTTTTTATTTGATTTTATACTACACGGGCCCCAAAAATTGGTCAATTTTTGCGATTTTTTACTATGTCCGCGGTAGGATTTTTTGAGCAAACTTGCTGTTTTTGCTGATTCTGAGCGAAAAAAGTACAGAGTTAGCGTGATTGCAGACTTTTGGGAATCTATGAAAAAGCCTATTTTTTGGTCCGAAGCGGCTTCCCGCAAAAGCTGGCAGCGAGGCGAGCCTGTCCAAAAATGAGTTGTCCGGCTTCAAGACGACTCCCCGCCGTTGTTTTCCGAAATTGCAAGAACTCACTTTCATGAAAAATGCTATTACTGTGGCTTAGGATTGTTTTGTCGGCTAGTCGCCTCCGGGCCTTTGCTTCCCACCGCAGCCCAAAAAGTCCTAAGCGATAGGATGGCCTCTTGCCCTTTGCTTCCCACCGCAGCCCAAAAGTCCTAAGCGATAGGATGGCCTCTGGGCCTTTGCTTCCCATCGCAGTCCCAAAAATCCCAAGGAATAGGAGGGCCTCTGAACCTTTGCTTCCCACCGCAGCCCAAAAGTCCTAAGCGATAGGATGGCCTCTTGGCCTTTGCTTCCCACCGCAGCCCAACAAATCCTAAGGGATAGGAAAACCTCCAGGTCGTTGCTTCGCGCTGCAGCCCAAAAAAAATCTCAAGCAGCCCCAAGAATCCCAAGAAATAGGAGGGCCTCCAAAGGCCCCAGGCCGGGCCCCCAAACCATTCAAACTATTCGAATCCTCCTCCCAATACTATTACGAGCAGGGGCCTCCCCCCCAATACTTCATTACGAGCCCGGGCCGCCTCCCGATACTAAGTTACGAGCGCGAGGCTCCCACCAATGCTAAATTACGAGCCCGAAGTTACGAGCCCGGGCCTGCCCCCAATACTAAATTACGAGCCCGGGCCTCCCCCCAACAAAAAATTACGAGCCCGGGCCTCCTCCCAATACAAAATCACGAGCCCGGGCTTCCCCCAATACTAAATTACGAGCCCGGGCCTTCCCTCCATACGAAAATGTTTGCCTTTTGAAATGTTTTTGAAATTTTGAAAGTTTCAAAGTGTGAGAATTTCTAACTTTCAAATTTTACAAGATTTTCGCCTTAAAAAACTTTCTTCAAATGTTGAAACAGGGAAAGATTGGATATTCAAACTTTCAAAATTTCAAAAATTTTCGCCTTTAAAACATTTTTGAAAATTTGAAACCTTGAAAACTGGAAAAAACTGTCCGGTAAGTTTCCCGAACTTTTTAATTTTTGAAAACTTTTGAAATTTTGAAAGTTTCAATTTCAAACTTTCAAAATTTCAAAACTCTTGAAAGTCTGAGAATTTCAAACTTTCAAATTGTCAACAATCTTCGCCTTTACAAACTTTTTGGGGATTTTGAAATTTTGAAAACTTGGATTTTCAAACCTTAAATATTTCAAAAATTTTCGCCTTTAAAACTTTTTTGAAGATTTAAAATCTTGAAAGTTGGAAAATATTGCCTGGGAAGATTCCCGAACTTTTTAAATTTTAACAACTTTTGAAATTTTGGACTTTCAAACTTTCAAAATTTCACATATGTTCGCCTTTAAATATTTTCGAAATTTTGCAAGTTTGAAAGTGTGAGAATTTCAAACTTTCAAATTTTCAAAACATTTCGAAATTTGAAATTTTGAAAGATTGGATGTCCTTAATTGTGGGAGAAGTAAATCTTTTCTTGTCGACCCCAACTTCATACATGAGCGGAGGTTTTTGTTGCAAAGCGCTCGGCCATGTTTCCCTTGCAAAGGTGTGGCTCGGCCTTGGTTCTTGGTTCGGCTGCGAGTGCTGCAAATTGAAACATTTCTGCGTTTGCAAAGGCGGAAATACTGTTTATCACAGCATTTCTGCGTTGCCAAAGTCTGCAAATACTGTGAATAGCGGCATTTCTGCGTTGCCACAGGCTGCATATACTGTAAATAGCAGCATTTGTGCGTGTCCAGAGGTCGCAAATACTGAGCAGCATTTCCGAGTTTGCAGCGGCTGGGGGGAGTGCAGCCCCGCCAACTTGCAGACACAATCCTCGCAGCATGTGTTTGAAAAAGACTGTACGGCTTAAAATGGGCGGCAGCCTTAAAAAAAGCGGGGGCGAGGTTGTAGCCCCCCCCCATTTGTAAACACAATGTTCGCGTGCTGAGTTCGCACGACTCAAACACCCCTTCCCTGGTTTGCAACCACGACGTCGCATGATGGCTTTGAGACAAAATGTTCTTTCAAAGCTCTGTGCATCTAAAAAAAGAGCGGGGGGGTTGGGGAGGGGGGGGTGGCGCAGCCTCCCCCCCCATTTGCAAACACACAGGTCGCATCAGGTTTTTTTGAAAGAACTGCACGGCTTAGAACGGGCTTTGCAAACACATGCTCGCATCATGTCTTTGAAAAGATTGTACACTTAAAATGGGTGGCAGCCTGGAAAAAGCAGGGGGGGTTGGGGGGGGCGCAGCCCCCCCCATCTGCAGACACAATCCTCGCACGATGGGTTCGTACGACTTGAACCCCCCCTCGCCACAAACTCCCGAAAGCCTCAAACCCCGAGACCCGGGTAGGCCCCTCTGCGTTTTTTCCATTCCTTCTTTCATTCATTCTGTCATTCTTTCTTTCTTTCCTTTCGTTCTTTCTTTCTTTCTTTCACTCACTCACTCACTCAGAAGGGGCCAATTGTATGAAGTAGCAAAAGGTCCTGGAGAGGCCCTGAGGCTCAAACAGGACGTAAAGAGAGCCTTCACGGGGCGTGAAAAAAGCCCTCCTAGGCCTATAGGATGTTTTCCGCTCCCCCTGGGGCTTCATTCTGGCCCTGTGCCCCCGAAGCGCGTTTGAAGCCATTAAGGGGGCCCTTTGCATCCCGTTGGCGAAGGGTGGGGGGCTTTTTTTGAGACCTGTCCGGCCAAAGGGCTCGTGCAGTGATCCAAAAAAAGCCCGCAGTTGGGTCGACAAGGCTTTTTTCGGGACATGGGGCGTCAAGAGTGGCCCGTTAAAAGCCCACCGTCGGGTCGAGAAGGGTTTTTATCGGGACGTGTAGGTGGCACGGGAGGCTGGGTCCGGGCTGCGCAGGGCGGAATTAAAGCCCTATCAAGGCAGGGCGAGGCTTTTTCTCGTCCTGGGTGCATGGCAGGGGATAGAAAAAGCCGTGGGTTGGCGAGGAGGGCTTTTTTCGGACCCTGTCCACGAGGGGGGCGACCAGGAGGCCGGCCCAGGGCGCAGAAACGGCCTTCGAAAAAGGGTCTAAAAAAAACCCTACGGGGAGCAAAAAAAACCCAGCCCGTGTACATTTCAGTGAACCTTCTTCGTTCTCCGGCCGCCAAAGCTGAGACGCTCCTCCGATGGACGCTGAACCTTGTGGAGTATGGGCAAAACTTCTCCAACAGCCAGCGGGCAAGCAGCTGCTGAGTCCTGCTCAGTGTCTCCCAGAACGTGGCACGTAGCCGTGCTAAACCCTGCTCCCCGCCCTGCAAGGATCTTCAAAGGTTGCTGTGCTTGGCAGGAACCAACAAGAAGAACAATGCTGGTACTCATTATCCACACGGTGCTCCATTGCCCCAAGCCTGGAATCTGACCCTGCCGCCTGAGATTCCAAAGTAGAACTGCTCCGACTACAGCTGTTACATTGCTGTTGTTACGTCTCTGATACGACGTGTACCTGGCCTTTGCAGGATGCATTCGCAGGATCTTCCATGCTGACGCATGTGAGCACTCGCATCAGCGTTATATACAAATTGTGAAACACCTTCGTTGTTCAACCTGTGTAAGTCTGACTGCTTTGAGCCAGCTCCCGTCACAACAGACACTTGTTTTGCACGTGAACCCGTGCTCGCACAACCACTAGCAGTGGGCTACGGCTACCTTTCACAGCGCCCCCACAACCTCGCAAGGCGCAGCAGGGTGGTCATCACCATTGACAGGTTCCTCACCCATGCCGACCACGTGCCACTCATGAGACTTTGAACTCCCGCGCATGCGCGGTTGTGAGTCGGGTAGAGCACCGGGCAACAAGCACAGGATCGAACTTTGCATGCACCAACAGTCTACCAACAGTATGAAAGGAGACTGTAAACCTCTTGACTTGTAAGGACAGATGGCTTTGGTGAAGGTGAAGCCGCAGTTTGTCGTTGCATGGTTCATTCAGAACCACAAACTAGGGCTGAGAGATGAGCCTCTTTTGATGGTGTGTTCTGTGGCTCATGCGCTGAGCATTCAATGCCTTGGAGGGTCTCTGGAGGGTTCATCTGCATTTTGGAACCTTTCTTGTTGGGTCATACATATCTAATCAGATATATATATATATATATATATTTATTTATTTATTTATTTATATTTATTTATTTATTTGCATTTATTTATTTATATACGCTGAGAAAGCAATCCAAAAAGGCCCATGCAATCCAAAAAGGCCCATGATTTGGATCAGCCTGCGTCTACCTGAGGATTCGAGTGGGACTTGCGCCAAGGCACCAGGAGGCTTCCAGGCCGCAGAGCTCGGGAAGAGCATCTTTCGCATCTTTCTTCCGTCGCTCCTTCGGAGGAAACTTCGAAGCGTTTGGGACATTGGGCACCTGCATAGGGATTTCGGGCGTTTGCCTTGGGATTTCGGGTGCTTGAGTCCTGCGCTGTTCTCGCAAAGGTCTCAAACCTGGACAGTGGCAGCTCAAGGCAACTGATGGCGTGTAGGCCGTATGGCCCGAATACGGCTTGGTCGGAAAAGGGCATAAGAACCCGCTGAAGTACCGACTTTGCAAGACGTCATGACGTCCGTATACCTGACCCTGCTCCCTCGTGCCTGGGCGGTAGCGACCTGAGGATCACTGGGCTGGCCTCCTCTTCCTTCAAGGGAGACAGGGAGACACCATACTCATCGATTTTGAATCTCGCGGGCAACGACGCCACTCCGACACGCTCTGCCTCGTACGTTACCGGTCGGGATTCGCAGGTCAGCAAGGGCCTGCCAAGCCAAGCCATCCAAGACATCTGCAAATCATGCAAACACCCAAATGCCGCAGATCTTTGAACGAGTTCAGACAGCAGCAAACCTGGTGCCACTTAGCATCCGGCAGAGTGCTTCGGGTTTCAGCTTTGATCTGTTCCACCAATCGCTTGGCCTGAACATGCACAAACCGCACGATCAAGCAAGAGAGTCTGCATGAACAGAATTCGTGAAAGGCATGCGGCGCCCTTTACAGTTAAACATCGTCATTTAGCATGCGCTTGTCGAGCGATCCGAAATGCCTCCTTGCCCCGGAGCTCGTAGACGGCGGAAACCGGCGCCTGGAGCCGTGGGAGGTTGGGAGGCTTAGGGTGCTTTAGGGCATTTTAAGAATCCGAGGATCCGTCAAGGGGATTTGAGGGTTAGGGCCGTAAGCATCTTCTGGGGTTTAAAAGACTTAGGGCACCTATTGCTTCCGCACGTTGCTGAGTTTGCACAGAGTTTTGTGGATCCGGCATTCTGCAACATTCCCCGCGTGCAGCTGGAAAGGCCAAAAAAGCAACTCTGACAGTCTGCCTGGATGGTGCGGGGCGTAACCAGGCTGGCACCCTCGCCCTGGCAATGAACGCGTCGATTCCCGACATGATTTATAATGTAGGATTTGTAGCTGGAAGTGTCGTCGTAGTCGTAGTCGTAGTAGTCGTACTAGTCGTAGTAGTTGTAATTGTCGTTGTAGTCGTCGTCGTCGTCGCCGTTTTAGTAGGAGTAGGAGTAGTAGTAGTAGGAGTAGTAGGAGTAGTAGGAGTAGTAGGAGTAGTAGGAGTAGTAGGAGTAGTAGGAGTAGTAGGAGTATTAGGAGTAGTAGGAGTAGTAATGATAGTAGTAGTAGTAGTAGTAGTAGTAGTAGTAGCAGCAGCAGCAGCAGCAGTAGTTGGAGTAGTGAACAGGAACTGGCAGCAGTGACAGAAAGAGTAAACACAATGAAGGCCTGAAACACCCTGAGCCCAGAATCAATATCAGGACCCAATCCTGAAACCGAACATCTCTCAATTCCTCATTGAAAGCATCGAGGAGTCGGATCCCTCGTCCGCCTCTTGAGGCTCTACGTGTGGTTCTGAGGCACGACTCTGCCAGCCTGCAGCTGAAGGGCCCAACCGAAGTGTTCTTCTGTTCTGACGAGGAATGAACGCGACTCCTTCTGCTAGTCATTATGAATGTGGACCTGATGGAATGATTGTAATGCGTTACCCCCACCCCCCGAACGGTTCGAAAGCCGTGTGGGCCCTCCTTCAACAGACCCCTCCCCCACCTTGCTTCCAACGTGGCCGACACACTAAAATATTCTTGCCACGCCCGGAAACTTGACCTTGTAGTCAACCCGGAAACAGTCGCGATATCCTAAACAGCCGGGCAGACGGATGCCCCCACCAAAGCCGGGCTGACGTTTCTTGCTTGACTTAGTGCTGAGAAGTTCTCCAAGCTTGGAGAGTCGCGCTCTGCGGCGGAACTCAGGAAGGTCTGAGTTCCTCGCGCTGCCTACAACAAGAGAAATGGGCAGAAGGAGTTACTGTGGCAACGGATCTTCTCCCCACGATGAGGGTCCCAACCTGTTTGAACCCGACGTGAATCCCCAGCCAAAAGGCTGGGATGCTTGTAACGTCAGCATTTTTCGAATGCCACCTCATTTGACCTCCTTCACCAGCTGCCAGATCAGGAGTGCACTGCTTTTAACAAGACCGCTCACATGACTGTCCCTGCGGCATAGCAGCTGCGGCAACACCTCTCTAAGACGGTGGCCCGACTGAGAAGAAGTCGACTGGCTCCTTGCCAAATCCTGCACACCACATCGAACCTAGGGTGAATTAACAAAACCTTCGGGGAAATGGCAGCTAGCCTTCTGGCTTGCTTACAGCTCTTGTGTTCAAAGCACAGGCTAGCTGCGGTCCAGCACATCCTCGGGCGTGGCGTCCGAAGCTACATCCTGCAGCTGGAGTGTGAAGGGCAGTTTCTCTCAAACACCTGACCAAAAGCGAAGCTGAAAGAAGCTGTCTAGTCAGCCGTAGTCTCCTTGGAGTCGTCCACCTCGTCCACGTCTCCCATGTCTCCCTGGGGCAGTGGGAGCTTCGGCCTGCGCGCCAGAAGACTCTGAAGAGTTCAGATGCATCTCTCGAGCTCACCCCAAAGGTGTCAGGAGATGTTTAGCTGCTAGCCCCAGCTCGCGCAAGAAGAACACACAAAACGGCCAAAACCAGTATAGAGAATGCCCCTTTACCCGAGCCGTCTGCGACGACATGTGCAGCTTGCCAGTCCTGGACCCACTCTCGGGCGGAACCGCGAGCCTGGGCACTTCGGATGTGAAAAGGCACCGATCCTAGATTTTTGGGGATCATATACCCATATATACCCTATGCGACTATATTCCCTTCTTGGGTTTCTTGAACCATGAACCCTGTTAGGGTTACCCTTGAGTCTCAGACTAGTCTTGATATATTCAGGGCAACGACTACGGCCGCGGAACAGTAGTGGCGCTGTGGTGGGCTGGAAGACAATCTCCTCATAGACCTGCGTTTGTTGTGAGTAAAAAAGGGACCGTGGTTTTCACAAAAGGCTCAATGATCTGAGAGGAACCCCCCCCCCCTGCCTGCAGAGGTGCATCGGGTCGGCCCACGGCTATGGGCATCTGCACGGGACAGAAACAGCTGCTCAGTGTACTCAATGTCTACTATCCGCTGAATGCAGAGGTGCGTCAAATCTCTCAGACCCGAAGAAGCCTCCGATTGCAAGCCACACAAGCGCTCCTTCCGGGCCAGAGCAAGAGCACTTTCGGAAGAGCGGACGTCAGCTGAGCAAAAGTGCCACCTACTCCTCATCGGAAATCTTTGAGATGACACACCATCCCACAGACTGTAATTCAAGCAGAACCCTTTGACCCCCAACTCGGAGAACCCTCAAAACAAATGAACAAGCCTTTCGGGGGAGTCCTTGGTGTTCAGCCGCACCTCTGCATGCCATTTGCCGATGAAGCCCAGGAATACCAGAGTTACCGGCGCCCGCATCCTGAATTGGAGACGCAAGCAAAGGGAGTGACATGCTCAAGGATAAGCATCAGATGGCATCAGGCTTTGTGAAGCAGTTGGAGGGCGGAAAACCCCCTCAGAATGAATCTTGCCTCCGGTGGATGTCCACAGCCGAGGACCCAGCAAAATCCTGCAAAAGGCGCACTCTTCAAAAGATCTCGGGGCCCTAGGGGGGCTACGTATGTGGACTGCGACGCAAGGCTCGCTGCTCCCGGGCAGGATTCGGGCCTTCTTGCCGTTGATGGACACCAAGATATCCCCGGACTTGACGCCGGCCTTCACACACAAGCAGTCCGCTTGACTACGAACAGAAGGAGCCCAACCTGCCGAAGGGTTTGGGGCTTAGGATTTCGGGGTTAGGGTATCCGAAGTTGGGTGCATTGCCTCAGACTTCTACCCTGGACTCTTTCTTCAGCGTGCCTTTTCGGCTAAGCCGCAGCGCCGAACGGAGGACACCACGACTCTCCGCTCACCACCACCTTCCGACACATGATGCTGCCCAAAACCCTTGTTCTTGCAGTACGAATAACGTGGCGTTTGCAGAGAAAGAACCCATCGCCCAGCTTCAAAATCCCATCTCGCCAGCGGACAAAAGTACTGGTTTACCGGTTTACCGGTTCTATCTGATATGTACTTGGTGCAAATCAACTGGTTTACCCGTTTACCGGTTCTATCTGACATGTACTTGGTGCAATTCTCCTTTGTATGAATTGCTTTCAAACCCCTGCGAAGCTGCCTGCGAAGTCTCTCTAGCGCGCGGGCACGACACGCCGTTCCAGCTGCTGGGGATCGGGATTGTGCACTCTCCCGCTGTGTGATACTGCGTGCATGGGCAACTGCGGGCAATCTTCGGTTTTCTTCACCTGATAGATATGGACTCTCAACAACGGGGGGGCCGGGGGGGTTCGCAGTTCGCAGGAACCCTTCCGGTCTGACACAAGTTCTGGCCCGGTCTTGCGCTCGTTGCAACTCGGACTCCCAGTGAAAGCCATCACAGCAGCACGGGTCTTCAGGCCCAAAGACGCGTCCGCCGATATGTCGAACAGCCCGGGAATTGATGGAACTGCGGCTGCTAAGCCGCCTCGCAGGATGAAGTCGTCCGAAGGTCGGTCTCCAGCTTGGTAGGACACCTTGGACTTCTGATTTGAGTTGTTGCTGCTGTTCCTGCTGTCTCATGAGATCATAGGTGGTCATAGTGTATTTGGATTATGACTATGACCATGCACCTGTCTGCAAGCATGCAGGGCAAGACTGGGAATGGAGGTGCTGCGAGAACCTGCTGCCAATGGGCTATTGGTGCCACAACTGCTACAGGGCTGGAAGCATCAACATCCACAAGGCTGGAGCTAGGTAAGACATGCGAAACCCACGTGCGCGTTAATTGAGCACATGAGTCACATGAGATCACATGAGACTACATGAAGGTGTTCGGATGAACCCACTCTTCAGCCCCAGAAACCAATCTGCCGGCGGCCCCAGTGCGCTGAAAGCGGCGGTTCCACTCCTGCACGGAAACACACAAACATATGTAAGCCTAACCGTTAGCATGTAAGGCAGCTCTACTTATTACCGAATTCGGTTCAGAGTTGCATCCCTGACCCTGTTTGTGAGCTTCCGAACCTTACTCAATCCTGTGTTGATCCTCATGTAAAATCGCGTCAGCAATCCCAATAACAGCCATGAGCTGAGATCACAACATGTTACCCCCTGCCCAAAAGAACCAAACCTGACTCCAACGCCCAGCCCTCTCTCAACCTCAGCAGGGGGCCTGCTCTTCAGGATCCACACCAGGCATCAACTGCAGGGGCTCAGAAAGCACGATTCGAGGAGAGGATACTTCAAGTACCCTCTTTTGCGTCCCTTACTCTGGGCTGCTCTGACCTCCTCCTCCTCTCCGGCGCAGTAGTTGGACTGCTTTCCTCAGCGGCCATGAGCATGAAGGCTTGCGTACCAGCACAACGGGATTGGACTGAGGCCGCCGGCTTCGTAGAGGTCTTTGAGGGAATGCAGCCGCAGCCGTCCCTCGTGAACACATCGAGGTCTTGCCGGACGAACATGACAAATGGCACAAACTTGCTCGGCTGTCGAGGCCTCTTTCAGGTGTGTTCTGCAAATCGTCCTGGGCAGTTCGCCATAGACGAAGGTCGATAGCTTGTCGGCTTGTCTCTGCACTTTACAGATACCCAGCTTGCCCGCACCAACTACTAGCACGCAAGAATTGGCAAAGCTTGCAGAAGCTTGATTGAACCCAGTACCACAGCAGTCATGACCAATACGGCTAGCAAGTGCAGCGGCTCAATTTGCCAGTGTGATCTGCAATCACGAACCGATGTAATCGGCAATGAGTATCTAGGGGTTGCTGTAGGGTTTTTAGAGGGTCCTGCTTGTCATAAGAAATAAGAAGCTGCGCCTGCGTCGCACTTGCACACACACACACTTCTGGGCGGAGCGAAACCACTAGAGAACTGCTGTCGAAGTGTTCAGAACGGTGGTCTCAAAGCCAAAGAGAGCACCGATTGCGAAGAAACAAAGCCTCCGCCTTTCACTTGACCGAACTTGAAAGCGGCTGAGGAGAAGAGAGGGGCAAACCTGAATGGTGAGCAAACGAGCTTGACGAACAAAGGCCACAAGGGCAGCCGCATAGTGGGGCCCGGATGAGGGAGCACCACTCCGCGTACTGCAGTGTAGAGGGGCACGCGGACAGCGACGTCGTCGCTGGTGCTTCGGGCGCTCTCCGCCACAGTGCGGCGCGTGCTCGGAATCCCGGATGCTCACTGAGAGCTCCTGCAACCACCGTTGAGTCATAGAGGCCGGGTCCGGTGGCAGCTGTGACCGCTATGGTTTTTGCACGCTCCCGTAGTCTGGCCGCCGGGGGGTGGACGTGATGCCCTTCCGAGCAGACCTGCGCACTCTGCAAGTGGGCCCGCATTCACAGCCGCGTACGCGGGCGCCGCGCTGACCAACCACTTCATCCGAGGCCTGGGCCACAGTCTCCGTCCGCTGGGTTTCACTGATGACACGGTCAACAGGCAACGGAGGCCGGGTTTCTGAAGCCCGACTTTTGCAACCCAGCCCCAACTGGGCTGCGTGAGCTGGGCCTCAAGGAGAACCAGGGCCTGGCGGGCTCGGACAGCTGAGGGCAGCGCTGGCGGGCCGCACATCCCTTTTAGCAGGCAAACCAGGCACCTTCGGACAGGTTGAGCTGCAGCCCAGGCTCGAGTCCCTTGCAAAAATACAAACAATCCATATGTTTCGATTGCTAAACAATTTCCTTTTTAATCTTAAGTTTCAACTCGTCAATATCCATTTTGAATGTAGACAGCCATTTACCCAGAGGTCTCCTTGAAAAGCTAATGGGTTTCTGACCCAGCAGCAATTTAAAGGACCTTTCGATGAACGAGGTCGCCGCATGAGCGTTTGAATGCTGGTACGCAAAGCCTTTGTGCATGTTCAGTTTTGTATCTCAGTTTCAACGACATATTTTGAATTTTTCCTGGTGCGTTTGGCACGGTAGATTGTGTGGTAGTTGCTTGTAGGTAGCTGCCCAGCGGTCGTTCCGTGACGTCGTGGGCTGTAGGAACCCCGTTTGGGAGCTCGACCCGTGGTGCCGCAAAAAAAATTGATTGCTCGCGTTTGCACCGGGTTGCAAGATCGGCACCACAATGGGGGGCTGTTCTGGGAAATTTGTTGCACGGTCTCTGCGGCCCGGTGCGGCGCGAGCACGTGTTCGTCAGCAGCGGTCCGACCACTGGACGCGTGGACTGAGTTCCACGCTTGCGGCCTCAGGCGCGGCGAGCCGCCGAGCTTGCGGCCCGTTGGGCGCGGCCCGTTGGGCGCGGCCCGTTGGGCGCGGCCCGTTGGGCGCGGCATCCAGCGATGGCTGCCGAGCCAACCACTTCCAAGAAGGTGGCCGGTCAGCCCGAAGGGCCACCGCTGCCATTGAGGATGGGTCGGTGCCCTACCACTTGCAGATGGGGGGTGGGCATGGTTCTACAATGGAAATGCAAACTACATCAAGGCAAGCAGGCGTTCAGGGGTCCTCCAGCCTACAAGCTCACATACCCTGCGGGCTCAAGGTTTCAAATCTATGCGTCGGCTGCTCTAAGGCGTCTTTTTCCTCGACCCACGGTCGCTTTCCGTATCTGCAACCCGACCGTGCAGACTGGAAGCTCCTGGGAGTACCGCTTGGACGCAAAACGTTCACCAAATATCATCCCTTTACTGCCCAGGGTTTAGTTTTGATCAAAGAAGCATCAGGGTAAACCAGAGCAATCGCGAGCAAGTTGGCTTTCGTGATGAACGTGCTAGCCACAGTAAGGGGGCTAATCCAAGACAAACCCTAAACCGAAAACCGAAAACCGAAACCAAAAACCCTAAACCCCTAAAACCCTCCCAGCTATCATTCTGCCTGGTCCAGATCTGCCACGTTCAGCCATGCCAAGACTTCGTCCAATGGGTCCCCGCTGCGATCCTCTGGTCAAAGACAACACGTTAAAGTTTAGGGTTTAGGGTTTCGGGTCTAGGGTTTAGGGCTTAGGTGTGGGGTTTAAGGTTTGGGGTTTACGGATAAAGGGCCTTCATTGTTGTTTCAGGTGGTGTTCTCGGGCAGCACATCTCCCAGAATTCCAGAAGCTCCAAGCCCCGGAAAAGATTTGCAGTGTTCCCCTGGTCCTGGTCCTGCTCCTGCTGCACGGCGAAGCTCTCAGGCCTTCCATTCCAGGCTCTGGGAGGAAGAAGATCTAAGGAAAGTCGTCTGAATCTCGGTAATGCAATATGGCTCAACATGGCTCAACATTAAAAACATCCCAAAGTGGACAATATCCATTCGGCGCACCTCGCAACGGCATCCCAGTCCTGCCAAGAAACCATCTTAGACCAAACAACAGTGTCTCCGTGAGGCTGGCAGCATTTGGCCTCTCTGTGCGGGCGCTTGTGAGACGGAGCACCATACAAGCTGTCTACTCTCCTGCATCAAGATAGCCTTTGAAGGAACATTATGCCTAGTCGCACCTCCCGCAGAAGATCCACAGCGGTCTCGCGGTGCCTTTGGAGCGCAAACTCTGTGACCATGGCAGGCAGCTGTAGCTCAGACAAACCGTTTGGTTTTCCATGGAGTACATCAATGTGAGTCATATCACGAGAGGGACACGCAGGAGTCTGCACTTCTCTGGGAGCATCCTCCAGCAAAAGGAGACATCTTTCTCAACTAACCTCTCAAGCTCTTCAAAGGTGCAGTAGGCTGGCCATTGGAGGCACCGCATTGCAAGAACAAGCGGAGACGGGTGGACAATATGCTGGTGGCTATCACTTGGCTTGCCAAGCAGAATTACAGCTTCGGGCCATGCAGCGGCATCTCAGACGAGATAAGACCAACCGGAAAGCCTCGCAGGCTTGCTGCTCTACCATACCAAAACACGACGGACTACTTTTTTTGTTCGGCGAGTTGCTGTGAGCCAAGACGCCCAACAAAACGGGATCCAGACTCATGCTGACTGCTGATATCCGCTGCGGCACGACAGGAGACCGCGAAGATCAAGGCAGCTCTGTGTACGGCAAAGGAACCATGCAAGATGTCATCAACGCACCACCAAGAGAGACCATCTAGCGACTGCTTCGTGGCTGTGCTTTGCCAAGGCACCTGCCCAACCAGGTCCATGCACCTGCCCAAGCAGAACGAGTCAAGCTTGACCGTATGCATCCACTGAGACGAAACATGCTGGCAGTAATTTGCAATTGCATCGGCACTCTCCTCAACCACCAAAACGAAACATCTACAATCCAGAATATGTCCATTTCTCATTAGCAGCCCTAAAGGTAAGCCTTGAACACTCCCTGATGAACACTCCCTGCACCATTTGGTATTCTGAGTCACAAAACCCAGCAAAGAGGGACTCTCTGCATTCTTTTTCCTGGTGGCCAGCGGCGCTCAAAGGCGGAGTCATGACACCAGGGCCTTGGCCAGACAGAAATAACACCACTCCGCTGTTGGTTAGGGGTTAGGTTTTAGGGTTTAGGGTGTAGTGCCGGGTTTAGGGTTTGGGGTTTCGGGTTTAGGGTTTTGGCGTTGCCCAACTCGAGCAGCTAATGACCCTGTGCTTTGCTTTAGCTATGGATCTTTGGGCCATTCGCCTGACTTCGACGGCAGTGTCTTGTGTGCTTTTGCCCGTACGAGCACGGTCTTTTCACTGGTTGATTTCCTGGAGTACTTCTCCGGTGTCTTCTGACTTCTACATTTCTCTCACAATTCTGTTCAAACTTGTACTCACTTTTGTGCCACCGTCCTTTTGAAGATTGAGTTGCGCAGTTTTTGCATGTGGCATTCGAGGGGGAGGCGAGGCTTTGTCTTGAGATGTTCATGAGATTTGCTGAGATCTCAAGGTTTTTGCCACGCGAGCGCTGCTGGGTCTTCTGAGCATTTCTGAGCCCCTCCAGCTCAGGTTCCAGCCATATAAGGCTCGAAGAAAACTGCGACAGTTCGTCTCACTCGGGGAAGGCCTCACGCCACAGTCGCGGCTCAGAAGCACGAACCTTAAACCCTTCGAGAGCCTTGAGAACCTGTTCTAGAAAAGAAATTAAAGGATTCCGGGTGATTGCAGTAGCGGGAGCCCAGGAGGCCCCCCCCTCCTCCTGAAGGCGGAGCAGCACGAACCCCAGGATGATGCCTCACACCGCAGCGAGGGCTACTCTGTTCAGCTCTCAAAGCGTACATGCTGCTCAATGCCAAAGAAGCCACAAGCAGGGAGGATAAGCTGAGGGAGCGTGCCCCAGATGATTGCGAAGGAGATGCTGACAGAGTATGGGAAGATCTCCTGCATGCACACACTCATCGCAAAATACACCCTCTCTTGCATGGAGCTGTGCAACATCGTGCAAAGCACAATCTGCTCTGTGGCAGTTTGGGCCCTCCAAGAGCCAACTCTTCCAAAGACATGCCAGGTCGGCATCCCACCAGACGTTGGCGTGCGCGGGCTCCACCAAGAGGAAGCCAGCCTGCGGCGGGGCCTACCATTGACTCGACCACCAGTGCCTGGCACCTGCACTGCCACAGCAGAAAGAGCGCCCATGACAACAAGCTAACTCTACAAACATGGTCCAAGTCCCGTGCGGTCACGCCAGCAACTGCCGCATTGCTCTGCGCCTGCAACGTCGTGGCACTGAGAGCATCCATACGTTGCCGGCCCCCCCGCCCCACTGATCCCGGAAATCCCGCAAGACAAACCACACACTTTCTTCCCCATCCACTCGCACTGCCTGAGAGGTGCGGGACGATGGAGGTGCCACGAAGGTTGTTCCGAAGGAGAGCTGTGCCTGAGTCCCAGAGAAGCCTTCTTTGGGGCGCAAGTTCAAGGATGTTGAATGAACTCAGAGAGAGAGGGAGAGAGAGAGAGAGAGATGGAGCGAGAGAGAGAAGAATTATAAATCATGACTTGGGGGTGGCGCCACGGCTGCAAGGGCCAGGAGTGCAGCAAGGGCTGGCAGAATCTGAGCGGCAGCTTAGGACTGTTGAAGAGCTCGCGATGGGTACTTGTGAGACAGCACTGCCGCACAAGGTTCAGGGTCTTTGTGTAGCTATTTGGTCAGCATGTTTTGAGGTGCACTTGCGATGTGGTGCAAGTTTCGGTGCCTACTGGTATCCTTAGACGAGTGCTCAAAGATGTGAGAGCACGTTTCCGGGCACACCGGTGTAACACTGCAGGGGGCTTCTCAACCAGGAATAACTTGACAGAGGAGAAAAGAAGGATGCTGCAGAATAGTCTTGGGACCTGGCAGATCTTCGTCCGGCCATGGTCAGGGATTCGCAATAGCTTGTCGCAGGAATTTGTGATCGCAGTTTTTGCCCGAGGAGAGCCAAGCCAAAAATTCTGCGCGAAGAAGCCCAAGCGGCGAATGCTGCTGGCGCAGGTACTCAACAACCTGTAATGAGAGCTGCATGAACCAAGCACCAACAAAAAGTCTGCCTCTGGGTCAACACCTGAACATGCTCAATCATACCACACCAGCCGATCGCTAAGGCAAAAGTACCATCCTCTCGCAACAGCAACCGACTGCTCGGCCAGAGCAACCCAACTTCTCCCGTTGTATCCACATTCGTCCAGTTTGGCAGACGTTGGTCTCTGCTCTTTTGGATTCTCGCGGCATGTGCCAATCGCTGACATAAGATGCAGCTATCTATTGGAGGGGCAGAACGTTTTGCCAAGTCAACGTAAGATCCCAAACACACACGTACCTTCCTATGTCAGTTTCCAGCTATTCATACTTGTGCCGAGTAATCTGCAAAGTCTGATGGCTGGCCGGATAGCCTTAATTTGTTACCCAGGATTGCTCGTGGTAATGCAGCACATTGAAGTAGCAAGGGTCTGTGCGCTCTCTGCATTCGCATTCAGAGCTCTCAAGGAAGCTTGTGCGGACTGCCAGGGTATGCCTCGGCAACCTGCCACATCACTGTTTAATGCCAAGTGCGCCGAATAATCCTGCAATCGGCATAAGATATCTTAGGCTCGGAAAGGGACCTCCTTGACCAGCGACGTCGGACTCGCCATCCTCAGGACGTGTGGGGGTGGTCTTTGATAGCCGAACTGGCGATTTGGGGCATGATTTGGGTGATCTTTGGTAGACGAACTGATGATTTTGCTGAGCTTTGGTAGCCGAGCCGGTCTCGAGTCTAATTAGTGACCGCAATGACAGAAGGGCGGTGCCGTGCCGGCAGGCTTTTCGAAAAATCACATTTCATATCTGTTTAAGTTTCTCAAGATCACTGACTCAGGCTGCACAAAGGATCCCGATGGCTCGGACTGATAAGTGATAACCTCGTGACCTGACCTCTCTCTTCCTCGCGTGACCAATCGTCCATCGACATCTGCATTGCTTCGTCGATCTGTCTGTGCATGGAAAGCCAGGAGCACCTCCACCTGTTGCCGTGGCTTCTTTTTGGCGGACGAAGATTCTAGGCCCGTCTAGCTCCGTTTTGGATGTGCTCCCGTCAAAACAGTGCCAGACATGGCACCGAAATTTTCTTAAACGTCAAACCGAGACTCTAAAAACCTTCGCCAGAAAACTTCACGCCCGACACTTCGCCGCAAGTTTCGCACAAGAATTGCATCGGAAACTTCACTCACAGGGGGGGGAACATCGCGTAAGGTCACTGCTGCAGACCCAGCCTCGCCCCCCGAGGCAGAAATCCACGGGGCGAAAAGCCAAGGGAGAAGCCGGGTGTCAAAGCACAGGAATCTGCAACTCTGCGTTTGTAGTTACCGCAAGCATCCGTCATTTTCAACAGCCCTACCTTAACTTCGCTGAAGCAATCCGTTGGTTCGGCACGGGGCCTGATCAGCCCCCCCAAACTCAACATCTACTTTTGCAAACGCAAACTTCACACAAACTTCATTCTGCAAAGAACGTGCCATGGTAGTAGCCAGCACCGTCAAAAGTTCCGCAGTTCCGAAAACGGCAAAAGCAAACAACTTGACCATATCAAGCGCTACTTACACAACCCTTCAAAGTGTCTCCCACAATCCTTCGGACCCCCTGGCAGCGCGCACCCGCCACGCCGCTCCGACCATTGCAGGGCAGCACCGTATACCCGAGCCTCCTCCTGGCCACGAAAACTCATCACTACTGACACAACTCTCAGCAAGTACGCCCATCTCGTGAGTAGTGCACCTTCTACCGTGCTCGAGGCATTAGCTCAAGAATCACCAGGGCACAACAAGCAACTGGACAAACTCAAGCATCTTTCAGTGGCTAAGTTCTGAGTCTCAAGCCTGTGTTGCTATGTAGACCTCCTCGGTCATGCTGATGGCCTGGTCTTCGATTCGCGAGCACACCTTTGCCAGAAAGGCACATTTCCTTGACTTTCGGAGGCAACGCTTCTGAACGCAAGGTCCGCTGGAGCGCAGGGAACCCCGGGGCTGGCAGCAGGGCTGGCAGCAGCTTGGGATTGCGGACGATGGCTCGGTGACGCTGAGGGTGCTGGGGGACGGGCGACGAAGCAAAGTGCCGCCCATGCCTTGGAATCTGCAGTGGCCAGGCTTCGCAGTTCCGACTCCAATGCTTGCAGACGGCCACGGCTACAGTAGGTATGAAGCCCGGAGAACCATAAAACTGCCATCCTTTATCCAAAAACAACTACTAATGTTTGCCAAGTCTTGCCTTCAGGAAGCAAAGAAGCGCCCCCTCGTCCCTGTGAAGAATCCACCACAAAATGTCCGGGCGCCCCGCAATTTCTGCCGCTGCGAAGCCCTGTACTCGATGCACAGGAGACAAGCGGAAGGTGGAAGAAGTTGGAAGGTGACAAAAGGTATGGCGACAAGTTTCTGACACAAACAGTTGTCCTGAACCTCATTTGATTCGCGTCTCAACGCAGCCGTAGCCTTTGTGCTGAGCTCGCAGCCAGATGCGAGATGAAGAAGACCCAAATATGAGGCGTAGAGGTCCAGGAAAACTGCCATGTGCAAGCACTGGCTTGAGGTAACTTGAGCTGAAAGGCCAAGCGACTCCCATGTAAACAAGAAGCTTGTGGGATTTCTGAGCAAGTGCCTCCACTTTGGCCTTGCTGTAGGCTTCCACGGCTATGCTCGCATCCTCCCGCGGAGATGTATTATGTTCCCTAAAGTGTTCTCTTCATGAAAGGGGAATCCCCACATATTCTTGCGACGGAGCCTGTTTTCAAGGGACTCTGTTGCCATTAGAAACGGGAGACCCTTGCAGAAAGTGAGGTCAATTCGAAGCCCTGACCAGTCCAGCGCGCCACCAATGAAGGCCATTATGCCTAGCACTGGAGATCCGAATCCAACTGCAACACAGCCAGGAGCGCTAGTCTGTGCAATGTTCCTATACGAACCCAAAACCCCCTAGCTGGGCACTCAGCTCCGTGCTTCGCTTCTCTGCAGTGCAAGTAGACATGCATGTACGGGATCATGGACAACAGCACTTTCGAGTGAATGAGGCACAACTGGGCCACAGAAATCTGCAGGGTGGTGAAACGTGTCTAGGCTCGCAGCCGCAGTTCTTGCAGCACTGCCTAGGCGTGCCGGGGCAATGGTTTGCTACAACCGAAATTCTGACCACTGCAGACTGAACACAATCCGTGTGCAGAAACACATCAACGTGTACTGTGAACTAGAGATGCCCAAAATTCGGAGATCCGATCTCTGCCTCCGACGGACTGCACGTTCACTGCAAATTCTTGGTAGCGAACATGTCGTGGTCGCTGTCCAGGCAAAGGCCCAGCAGGGCCAGTGTGTCGACAAGCATAAGCAACATCGCCTCGTTTCTCTAGCATATGCAGAAACGGATTTCTGGGGTCTTGGGTCTTCAAAGCGGCTGAAGCCGCGCGCGTTCTGTACAGAAAGTCATAGTGTATCAGTCATCCCCACGGCAACAAGATGCAAGATGACGAAACTAGTCGCACTGAAATCTCTCTTCGACTCAGGAACCATACCGGTCTGAGCTCCAGGCGCCATGGGGGTCCTGGGAGTCAACACGTTGGTCCTACCTGTGATTGGGTGTAGACCTGCTTACTTGCAGTCTCACCGATCAAGTTTGGTGATGTTTGGGTCTATCACATTTGCGAAAGTTCTGGCTTGGGGTTCCTTCTTGGCTGACTTCTGAACCCCTCCTAGAAGTTTAACTTTTAGGCTCCTTATTGTAGTTTCTACAGAAACCCAAGAAGTTAAAGTCCTAAGAGCCAGCCAAAAGAAGGCCAAGCCTTATGTACCCAAACATGTAAGCCAACCATGTCCTTCAGTGCCTTCATTCTCATCACTGTCCTGCCGTGGGCACAGTCACTTCTCGGAAGCATCTGAAGAATGTGAATCTCTCAAAGTCTCAGAAACTGCGCATCCAAGCAGGTCGGGCAAGCAGGATGATCAGGAGCACCAGCGCTGCTATGTACCACAGCCTGACAGCATCGAGAGAGGAGTTGAAATCTACGTTTGAGGACCATCATCAATACAACTCTGCGTCAGACCAATCAAACGAGGGCCCAGCTTTAGCTTCCGCCGCTCCTCCATTTGAAGGTCCTAGGCAACCGCCGCAAGGCTTTTGCAAACAACAGGAAGTGCCGAGCATGGCTGAAAACAGCACTAGAGCGGCTCTTTGTGTCTGAACAAAGGAAGCCGGATGCATTGCTTCCCTTGCAGGTGGGTCGTGACTCATCACAGATCCAGGAAAATACACGACCTCACAATCAAAGGGCGGATGTCTGAATGTCACCGACGTGCCATTCCCAGCTTTCGTGGAAACCGCGCATCTGAGATAAAACAACCGCTCCGAAGCCCGAAGAAACCGCCTGTACAGGCAAGGCAAACCCCAAGTGGGGAAAAAACGTCCCCGCCGCTGCCCTTCAGAACTCCTCCTGCCTAGCTGGTTCACGCTGCTTTCAACCTTCTGCGCTGGGAATGACCGGGATGCTGAGATTTGAGTCGAAGCGACCCCCCATATGCAACACGTGGAGGCCTTGATTGCTGGCGAAATCCTTTGTGAAGACGGGCGATGGGCAGGTGTCATAGGATGAGATCACCAGACGCAAGCCCTCACCCGCACTGAAGAAAGTAGCCGCCGGGCACAGTGTGATCTCAATGGGCACAATCTCTCCACTCTTCAGTGGCTGAACTTTGCTGCCATTCGGTTCCTTCCACCAGTCCACCGACAGGCTGGCATCGAATTCTCGGCGCGAGACCCGCAGATAGCCTCGGCTGACCACATCATCCTGGATGCCAACAGTTCCGTTGAACCGCACCTCTTGACCGTCCCTACCGAGCTTGTCTACGGCCACGCAGAGTATGATGTCGTCCGGACAGGCAGCGTGTGTGGAAGATGGGCGCGCCTCGACCCATAAACGCAAGTTGATGAAGCCACTTACTTCGGTGTCCTGAGCGAAGGTGTATTCGAACTCTGCCTGGCCGCGCTGGCCGTCATAGCAGCGCTCACACTCGGCGGGCACCTTCGGCCCGAGACCCTGCTCGCTCAAGTGCAACAACTTGTAGTCAGTCCTGGCTAAGGGCCACTCGTGCTCCCATCTGACGTCGTGCACCTTCTCACGGCTGCTCCGGATCTCAAGGCGCACTGGCGGCAGGGATTCAAAGCGGTTCGAATCACCCTTGAGAAAATGGTCCATGAAATCTTTGATAAGATCGTGAGCTGACGGGGAGTAAAACTCTGACCACTTCCCACCTCTGTGGGTGTAAAGCCATTTCTTTTCTGAACTCACTCGACGGAAAGCCCTGTGAGAACCCCGTGTATGCAGCTCGTGATCTGAGAAAGACCCGCATACAAGCATCGGTATATCAATTCTCTCAAGCTCAACCGCCTTATCCGCCCAATACTGATCCATCAATGGATGCTTGCTTATCAACTCCGGAGGAATGCCACCTTCATTGGCAATGAACTCCGCAACGCTTTGATTCAGAGCCTCCTTTACCTCGGTATGCCACCAGAAGTTGAGAAAGCCAGTCCCGTTGACTCCACCCGGACACGCCACATCACGGTAGACATCCGTCAGACCTTCCCACGGCACCATACATTTCAGTGCGGAGGCTCCCTTCCCGGAAAAGCCTTCCGCAGCCGCAAAGTACTGGCTGATAGCCAGGTAACTGACACCAAGCAGACCCACCGAGCCGGTGCACCAATCCTGCCGGCCTACCCATTCGATTGCCTCGCGATAGTCGCGACCCTGCTTCGTCGAAAGGATTCTGGCTGCACCTCCGCTGTTGGCGTACCCGGGTAAATTCAGGTTCACCAGCGTGTAACCAGCGGCCACCCAATAGTTTGGGTCCGGAGACTCCCAACTCGTCAACTCGGAAAAGGTCGGATGGGGGACGCCTTGCGGAATGAGTCTGTACTGTTGTGGTGGGCCACCAAGCGGCGTTCGCTTGAGCGCCGGTGTAATGTGGTTATCGTATATGTGCGCGCACATGACCACGGGATCTGGGGCACCGGTGCTCATCCTTGCCCTGGATCGAAACACATTCGCTGTAAGCGAGTAGCCTTCAGACATAGGAACGGCCACATCATAGTCACAGTGAACATCCGGGTCTGCCGTCTGCAACTGACACTGGGGGTGCAGAATCTGCCCACTTCGAATCGCTCTGGAGAGCATCGGCCAGGCGGCTCTGACAGTCTTCAGCAGTTCAGCCATTGCAGCACACGGGAAGCACCCGCTCATGATAGTGCAGAGTCAAACGACACGGCTACACTGTCCTTCTGAACCAAGGGGCCTGAGTCTGCGAGCGGGAAATATGCTGCCCGTTCGGGGCTTCAGGGGCCCTGATGCAGATTTTGTTTCAATCGCAGCTGTTTAACAGCACTTTTACAGGCGCAACCTCCTCCTGCATTGGAGGTCAAGCTATAGTGTATGGTTCAAGCGCCGGCGCTTCCCAGGAATTCGACTCGGCAAGGCAGAAGGTAAGGGCAAGACTCGTACACCGAGCGTTGTCACCAGGACAAGCCTGGGAAGCATGCTCAGCCGGGCACCATCGGAAACATGACCATTTCAAAATGCTGCCTTGCCCGTGCTACTGCACAATCCCAGGTCCACGCCGTCCTCCACCTGAATTTGGCCATTTGCTCAGTGCTGAGGGCAGCACTGCAACGGCGCACGGTCAGCATTAAGCGGATGCCTGTCAAACAGCAAGCACCTTGAAAAAGGGTCAGGAGCGGATTCGGAAACTGGAAAACCTGATTCGGAAACTGGAAACAACGGATTCGGGAAACTGAAAGCACGGATTCGGTTATGCGAGAAACCCGCTGATTCAGCAAACTGGGAAATGCGAATTCGGAAACCGGGGACTCAAAAACTCAAAACCGAGTATTCTAAAGCGTGGATTCGGGAAACCAGTAGTCGGGAATCCAGCTGATTCAGGAAACTGGAACCCGCGGATTCGGAAACCCTGGACTCGAGAAACTGCAAGCATGTTTCAAAGCGGGCTTGACATGAACGTTATCATGCCCCCCCCCCTCCGCCGCGTGGTTTCCTGTCGTTTCCTGAATCGCATGCACTCAGCTTCCTGAATCGCGTGGTTCCTGAATCGCGTGTTTTCAGTTCCTTGAATCACGTGGTTTCCTGAATCGCCGTTTCCTGTATTCGCGTGAAGGCAATGTCCTTAATCGGGCAATTTCTTGAATCGCCTGTTTTCCTGAATCCTGGTTTCCTAACCCTGGTTTCCTGAATCGCGGCTTCAGAATCGCGCATGAACCTTGTAAAAGTGACGAACTCAAGCGCATGCAGACATCCGAAGCTTCTGCAAAAGTACAGGATCTCCAAAACCACGAATTGACGAAGCACAAGCGTCACAACGACCAATGAAAATCTACACCTCATGACCAATGTGCAAGATAGAGGCCATCAGGAGGCTTCCTAACTCACATCTTCCTCCTGAGAGCTGCAACTGGCCTCTCCACGGAGAAGCCGAGAAGGGACGGACAGGACGGCACCTCAGAGGGAGGTGCTATTGCCCCCATACAGACACACGCAGTAGGGCCGTAGCGATACAGTATAGAATCAGAACTGATGCGTCCATGTACGTCTAGCACGAAAGATTTCGTGCAACTTCGTGATTCTTTACGAACACAATCGGACTGTCGCGAGATTCTTTGCTCAAGTGGCTCTCCTGCGCATCAGCCACTCAAGTGTGCAAGCGTTTATCACCAAAGACCTCATTCTGAGTCCCACACGCTCTATCGCCAGCCAAGTTCCCTACGTCCTCCCTTTTGAGCCATGCGACGATACACGAAAATCAATTGGTACCCAATCCAGAGACAAAGCCCCAGCTCATCCTCCCTGTAGGTCCGGTTCCCTGCCTCTGCCTGGAGTCGGCTGGAACTTGAAGCAAGCTAAGCACATGAATGTCCCATAAGCTACGGCTTATTATATGGTGCCTGCAGACTGGTCCCCATTACAAGCATCAAATCGACGTCAGAGGTGTGCTGGTCCAGGGCTCAAGAGGCTTCAAGGCCTTCCCTACTTCTGAGGGCTAAACCCTATACTCATGAAAAGCTACGGTCTCTAGGCACTCCTGTCCTGCCGAGATTCTGTGCAAGTTAGACGACTGCAGTGTTTCTTTGCGTGCATTGTCTTATGTGCAGCACTGTGTGTTGCGTCTGTTTCTCATGAGCTTGGGCTCGCATTTCTCATATGCAGGCCTTCACCATGTGAGCCGGAAGGAAGAAACATTGCAGCCCCAGAGCTATCAACCATTGAAATCACGCTTGAGCCAACTGTAGGCACGCAAACGCAGCAAAAAGAAGTTGAGATCAAGTTAGCTTGGGGCGCACCATCTCCGAGATCGAATCAAAACGGGTCCTGGCAAGCCACCATCAAAGCACTTCTGTGCAACCATGCATAAACTCATGAGAGAACGGCACGGAAAAATGTGTGCTAACTGCAGCTTGCGGGCCTTCTCGGCGTGGACGAAGGGCGCCTCTGAAGAAAATCCATGGGGAAGGACTGCGGTCCAATCATCGGGGAACTACCATTTCCGGCATGAATTACAGGAAGCGTGAAGCAACGCTCCCAAAATATCGGACTTCCCAGCTATCAAGACATGGGTTTCCCACCCAGTGTGCGGCTTGCCCAGGATTGTGCCAGATACCATCAGGTAGCCCGTCACAGAGCCCACCTGCAAGGTACATCAGACGTTCAACAACGATGCTGGCCAGCCATTGCTGACCCTGATGCTGTCAAAGCTGACGGAAACCGAAGCCTGACCCGATACAAATCCAATTGTCAAAACAAAGACACGCGATCTTATATGCCTCGAATGTTGTATGGTGCAATCACAACAACAGCATGCACAGCCTTCGCGCCCTTGAGATAGTTGACCCCGGCTTCGTCGATCGTGCGCTGGCAGGGTCAGATCATTGCGCTGTGCAACTGACTTCTCACCCTGTGCAGCAGTGACACATGTTGGACATCCGTTGCTCTTGGCACGTGCAGCAAAAATGGAGCAATACAAGAAACTGGCTTGGAACTCACTGAAGCCGAAGCGTGCGGACTGGCACCTTGGCAAAGGCTGAGCGTGCTGTTGCGGCACCAGACGGCCCGGCCGGCGGCCTGCAGCTGGGATGAAGAAAAGATGCATATATGAATATATGAATGCAAAGCATCAATATCATAGATGACTGAACATGAAAGCCTTTACAGGTTTGCGTGTGTAATCGTATAATCCCGCCATGCGAGGCCTGCTCTCAGCAACTTCAGAAGAACTCAGCTCCAAGCATTTGTGCCAGCTTTGGCGGCCGGAGCGCACCACGCTCTGTCATCGCGCCCGACATGGCGGCAAGCTACTGACGAACCAAGCAACACAAAGTCTACAAACCAAAACAGACTGAGTTGCCCAGCGTATTTTTCGTTCAGTCTCAATATGCTTTATTGAAAGTTAACTTACATCATGGTTCGTAAACACGCGACGAAGACATGCTGGCTGCTTCCAAGACGTGTGGCAGCTCATTCAAACATAACACATGAATCAACTGGCTTGTGTTTGCAATGCACCGTTCCAGCACTTTCAAAACGAAGAAAACAAAGAAGCCACATGAAGCAGTACTGAGATCCTAAGTTACAAAGGGGTATCTTACTGCGGCCATTTTTATCTCTCTGAGTACACGACTGCTGGATTACTCTAACTGCAAAATTCCTGATGAGCACTCAAGAACCGCATCTGCACATCTGAAAGCTGCGTTTGAATTTGTAAGTAGTATGTTTCAAAGATCCCGACCCTCGTCGCTTCAAGCCCGAAAAATAGACCCAGGAACCTCCTGTAGGAAGGGAAGTTGCTTGCCTGTCCGTATGATCTCAGGTCGAGCTGCAGAAGGACTGGCTTTCAACGCCTTCTTCCAAAAACGTTTGGCCAGCAAATGAGTGAATTGAATGATGTGAAAGATACGGCTGTTGGTGACAACAGCAATACAAACAATGGTACAAGCGATGGTACTTGCAATGTTGTAGAACTCTTCAATATTGGAAAGTACCATGGCAAAGAGAAAGGGCCTGAACTTGAAGCTTTTATGCTGTTTAGTGGTAGACAGACAGAGATGTCAGAGAAAGCTAGACTTGCAAATGCAAGTCTTTTCAGATAGAGACGCCTTTGATAATGGGGAATTCTCTTGCGCGGCAAATGCTCTGCAAGTAAGGGTGCGGGTTTGCGTGAAAGCAACACATACTGTGGAGGCCCTTTGAAGCGGCGCAAACACATTTTTGAAGCTCCAAAAGCAGCTCCCAAAAACACCAATTTCAAACCCTAATGGCAGCGATGATGCCTGAATCTTCTTTGTTTTCCTTCACATTTCTCGCTTGCACAACCCATCTGTGAGAGAAACAAAATGACACTCCGACCACACACACAGCACAAAAGGCAAACAAGGCACAACATGCAAACAAGGCACAAAAGACAAACAAGGCAAAAAAGGCAAACAAGACCAAGGCACAAGCAAACAAGGCAAACGGCACAAAAGGCAAACAAGGCACAAAAGGCAAACAAGGCACAAAAAAACAAACAAGACACAAAAAAAACAAAGGCAAACAAGGCACACAAGGCAAACAAGGCCAAGGTAAACAAGGCAAACAAGAAACACAAACCAAACAAGGCAAACAAGCAAACGGCAAACCAGGCAAACAAGGCAAACAAGCCAAACAAGACAAACAAGGCAAACAAGGCAAAAAGGCAAATAAAACAAAAAGGCAAACAAGGCAAACAAAAGGCCCATAAAAGCAGACATGGCCCACAAGGAAAGGCGAATATGGTGTGTCATTGGAAGTCCAAGAAAACGCTCAAGATCTTCCCGCCGTGTGAGCCGACCCAGCATGCTCCTGACAAAAGCCTGGCACGGGGCGGAGAGCCTCACCATAGCACAAGTAACCCCCATTCGAGAAGACCAGATAAGATGGTCCTCTTGGTGGGTCTGTCAGGAGGAAGCTTGTCATTACTATATCCACCACCTCACCATGCGAACTTTTTCCAGCTTCTGCATGGTGGAGAAGTCTGCATCCTTCAGCCCTGCCATTCCGGGCATTTTCGCCCAGCTGAGACACACAGAGCTAATCACCTTGGTGATGCACAAAGCTGACAGAGCGCTTGAGCTCTGAGTCAAGACTACACCTAAAACGGCTGTCGGCAGAGCAATGTGCTTCCAGAACAATTTGAAACCTCCTTTACAGAAACCTTTGTC